ATGGCGCGACCCAATGTGTCCCAGGCAATCTCAGACTCGGCTTCAGCGGAGATAGTACCTTTGTCCCTCCAGCGGGAGCGTAGGGCCGGAAGAGTCACACACTCTTGGATGAACTGAGGATCAAGGCATGACTGTTTGGTGTCTGCCACGTACATTGCCGCAAGTTCAGTGAAAAAACGAGGGTTGAGGGCTATAAGGTGATTAGCCGTCTCAAGTTCCTTACGGTACTCCACCGCCATACCATCCACCTCAAGATTCCGTTTCTCCCACCAAGAAAGTTCGTCAAAGAGATTGGACTTGTCGAGGTGTCCATACACATGCTGGGGCGCCCAATCCACCGAGGACCGAAGGATAGCTTCCCGAATGGACGATACCAGGTCAAACTGGGCATCAGTTGGAGACAGGGGACGTTCTTCAAACGCCATCTCAATAGCAGAGAGGCCATCGCAAGCAATCCGAACCTTGGGCCCGATCGAAATTTTTGGGAACCATTGCTCAAGGAGCCAATCGACCGCCATTATACCGGCCAACAGACCAATGAGCTCGCTGCAGTATGGACTCTGGTCCTGGGGCAAACCGGGAGTCTGACACCGGATGATGATTCGATGGCATCCTCCATGCTTCGCCAAGATTTGAACCGCCTCGGTCCCCAACTCGTTCTTGAAGGATCCATCGCTGATCACACGCAGGCAACCGTGCAACAGAGCGTCAGCTAAGGTGGCTTCGTCACCGTGAACCTCGATCTCATTGGGGACCCACCCGTAATAGTCCGTGCAGAGCTCGGCAGCTGTCTGCCACGCGTGAAGGATGGATGGGCTGGAGGAAGAAGACGGTTCAGAGGCACGGCCAGTACCAGTGAGAAGAACCCTGTCAGATCCTGTGATGGAGTGAACCGTAGCACAAAGAACGTCAGCAGGAAGCGGTGCAGTCCACCATGGGCAGGAAGGAAGGGACGGCCCTGGTGCGTAGCGACGTGACGTGGTGTGGGAGCCCTCAGAGCAAAAGTGTTTCCAGGTTGCCCCATGGCGGTGGAAAAGGCCTGTGGTGGGGGACAGTAACCAATTCCAGTCCTCCAGACGGTCAGTCCATGGCCCCAAGGGCTGTTGTAGTGGGTAATGTGGCCCGTTGGAGGCAAGCAGGGCTCTGGACAAGGTGGTCTGCCACAGGTCCCAGTGTTGCCTTGTTGAACGAACTGCCCTTGGCCATTGGTATGGCGAGCGGCAGCACTCATCCCTGAACCCATTCCACGCTGAGCGACGAATAAACCTGCCATCAGCAGTCACAATGTCAGACACTGTGCATACCTGGAGGAACATTCGACACCAATTGAGCCATAAAAGTTCATCCTGTTCAACCTCCAAGTTGATGAAGAGATCCATCAGAAGAGAGTCGTCCGTACATCAAAGGGAGAGGGCTGGAGAGTCATAGGCGATATAGATGTCCAAACCTTCGAGCTCATGCCAGACTCGTTTCAACCACGTGTCTGAAGCGAGGATCGCCGTGTTGGAGTAGACTAATTGCAGAAGTCCAAATGACGTCCCCGTTTCAAGTTGATGGGCTTGGATGTTGGCCTCCATATAGTCACCAGTTTTGGTCCTGTTGGCCATATGTCGGAGCAACATCTCAAGATGCTTAAACACTTGACAACCAAACGGATGTGGAAGTCCAAGACCCTGATAGGACAGCGGGGCAAATACGACATCCCGAGGGAAATTACGACAGACACCTGCCTTTGGAAGGCACACTTGAAGTACCGGAGACATAATGTCTGTGCATTGCTGGGCCTCCAGGGTTGTTAGCGCCATCGGATACTCCAATTTCTTCATGATGGTCGACTTGATGAGGGAGAGGACATCATATTTGTGAAGCAGGTGGGGTCAAAGCTGTTCTGCCCAATCCTTGGCTTTAGCAACCATCTGAGCCTTGTGAGCCTCCAGGTTTTCCAAGGGAGCAAGCATAACTCCCAAAGTGCATTCCAAGTCATCTGGTTCAAGGCGACGCAAGGATTCAGTAGCACCTGAAAGACCTTGAATTTGGAGTTCAAAGTTGGGGGCGACTGCTTTTTTCCCACGGAATTTCCATTTGCCTGTGCGGGAGTCCCACTCAAAATCAATGAGCCACCAAAAGGACTTCTCAGGATTGATCGCACCGCCAGTGGCACGGATTCCCCCAGCCCACAGAGTGGCGGCGTCCTGCACCGATGCACATATAGCTTCACCCGAGTGATGTACTGTATTGCCAGCCTCAATGACGTCGGTGTCGTCAACAAAGCAGAAGCATTGGGCTGTGACCAACTGTGACTCCAGTGCTGAGAGGCACTCAAAGCCGTAACCCATCGCTTCCATCATGGTAATGAGAACGGAGCTCACAGAGATCCATATAGGGGGTCCAGCCCCATTGCCCTGACCACAGCCTTGGAAGGGGATAACAGAAGGCGGCTTGAAAGTACGTTCTGAATCGCCAAAGCCTATCCGCACCCGATGAGTCGCTGATGACAGCATGTTAAACATGGAGGATAGGACCCTCCATGTCAGCCCAAACCGGAGCATTGCAATGATTGCCACCCAATGAACAATACAATCAAAGCAGGATTTGGCATCATTGGAGATCCACCCAGCCGCGCGTCGTTGGAGAATCAACAAGTTCCAGACCAGGCGTTTGGACAGGGCCAGATCAATGGCCTGGTGACGTTTCCGAGAATCGCACTGACCGTCCGGAATCAAGGAGCGTTCCTCGGCATATCGCATGGCCGCCTGACCCGCTTTTTTGTTGTTGGCCTGTGCCTCCGAATTCATTAACTGAATAGTACGCATTTTCGACAGCCGGAAGTCGCCTGCCTTTTTCTCAATTGCAAAATTCATCAAGTTTCGCCAATTTGAGGGGACAAATCCCGTTGCCAAAGGAATATTGCGAAAAAGGGCATCACAAGAGGCAATAACTGGTGACTGGGCCGCTGCCTTGAAGTGACCGTTGTGCAAGCCGTGAGGTTCTGAGCCTTTGTCCTCCGGATTTCGGGACCAGAAGTACACATGATCGGAGGTAGTCACCTCAAGGTGCACAGGTAAGTGATCCTTGTGAAAACGGCAATGTGAAAGGAAGGCCGTAGTGGCGGGGTCGAGAAGGTCGGGCAGGGAGTAGCGGCCTTCCAATAGTGCAATGGAATTAGATTCAGCCTGAGCGCCGGTGAATGCTGTATACAAGGGTTCCGCCATAGGTGGAGTTGTATATGGAGCACGCGTCTGGTCGTACCGTGCCGCATTTTCTTGCATACAACCTTCTTCAACCAGAGCACGGTCGGTGATAGTACGCAGCTGCGGAGTGCCGTCTGGTAATTGTTCTTCAATCTGAATAGCCCGTAAACCCCCTGTAGATCCTTTTTGTTGGGCGCGACGACGGCGTCTCGCCTCCTCTCGTTGCTTCATTTGTCGCAACCGAAGGAATCTATCGTGGGCCTTCTGAGATTTCCATTTCTTCTTCTTTGCATCCGTTGTCTGAACCGTAAGAAAGTCCCGTCTCAGTTGGATTGCCTGACGTTTGGCTTGCTTGTATGCCCTTCGTTCAGCTGCCAATGCCACTTCCAGTTCAGCAGTCCTCTTCTTCCACACGGTACACAGCCTTGTCTTCTTCATCAGGCGCCGGACCTTTCGGGAGCTCACACAACATCGCTTGCGTCCTCTAAGGAGTAGCTTCCAGGGACTCAACCAATCCCAGAAGCCCTGCAATTTGGGAGACCAAGGAACCTTGCCAGAGGAGGTAGTGCGACAATTGTCTTCAGCCTGCCGCCGTATCATATACATCTGCCGGTGAAGGCAGTTATATTTGCGTGCCAGTGAGGGTGACATCTGCCGTCCATTAAATTCAATGCGCTGATTGAGCTTGGTGAGACGGGACGGGATGTCATACTCCTCGTATCCCAAGTGAACCAGTTGAAGATAGCGTTTGACCGACCGCTTATCCAAAAGGGTGAGCTTCCAAGGTTTAAAGGTAGACTCCTGGGGTGTGAAATTGCCCAAAGCCGTGTTCAAGCCGATATCGATCCATAGTGCCCTGTGGTCTGATTCAACAAATTCACCAAATGCGTAGTAGCCACCAGCCAAAACCGGAACACCTGAAGTGGTAAAGATTCCGTCAATGGGAACGTTGCTTTGATTTCGTTGGTGGGTCGCCGTGGGAGGATGGCGTTTCAAAATCGCTTCCTCCATTCCGCACTCACAAAAATGCTGTCGTATGGAGTCCGGGGAGTTGACCGAAAGGTCTTCATTAGCATCAATCCCCAGCAAAACTTCACAACCCTCGTCCCTCCATTTTTGAATTTGCTTGCACAGGTCATCGACCAATGCTTTGTGCGGATCAATCTTACGTTTTATAGAGTTAAAGTATAGACGTTGTTGGGCCCACACAGTCGATTCCCCCATACCTTCTCTGTTTGGCCTATATGCCGAGACAACCACTAGATCACGTGAAATCGGGCGTCGGACCGCCTCGTTTACGTCTAGCACCAAGCCGGAGGGATCATCTCCCCCCTGCGCCTTCAGCTTTTTTCCTTGAAGGCGAACGTAAGCCCACCGTCCAAGACCCGTCGAATCGCTCCCTGATTCTTTAGCTTGGTGCGAGACCTGACTAAGTACTGTCGCGATGCATCCTCCCCATTGAAAGGCTGTAGTTGCTGAGGATCGTGACTGCTGTTTATTATAAGCGACAGCTGAATAAAAACCTTTGTGCTTTGCCTTCATCGTAGCTTGACGCATCCTATCGTTCCACCCATGACCCTCTGGGATAGAGGGCCAAAACGTTTTGG